TTTAATAAAATTTGTGTGAATATTATATTGTAAATATATTATAATATAAGGTTTATTATTATTAGTAAATAAAGTACCTAATTACTGTTACTGTTAAAGTACATAATACTACAATTAATTAATGTAATGATATGAAAAGTGAATATAGTTCCACTCATAAAATAAGTATAAAAATAATGTTAAATAATAGAATAGAAAATGTGTTAATAATTATATACGTAAAATGTAAAAATATCTAAACATAATCGATACAATAATATCAGCATGTCGAATATAGAAATGAATAGTAGTCTTGTAGGTTGATACTTTTATTATGTTTTGTTTCAGCATTCAGCATTATCTATAGTAAATGATTTGATAATTTTATCAATATTATATAAAAAATGGATATATTTTTATTATTGTATAATTTTATATTCTACCTTTTTTCTATCTTGTTAAGTAATTAAATCGATTAAAATATTTTATTTTTAATATTTGAACATCATTTTCTATATACTTATTAAAAATTTTGTATTTTGGTTAATTAAAATTATATGTGTATTAAATATAATTTGAAATTGTAAAACAATAATAATAATTTAATAGTCGATAAACAACTTACAGCAATCCAGTTCATAAATAAATTTTTAAATTTTCTATTTGACATCGTTTCTATATTTAATTATAATACTAATGTATGTAATTTGTTTTTTACCTTATTGCAAGTTTTATTATCAATTTTTGAACTTATAAATAAAAAAACAATATTGTCTAACTAATTCTTTGTATCTTAATTGCTGAAAGATTTATTCAAATTTTATTCTAATTATATATATTTTTTTAATAATAAATTTAACACTATATATTGATACAATTGTTACAAACAGTTGTAGTGACTAAGACAATATACACTCATGTTAATTGTCATTATTAAGTAGTAAAAGTGCTTGCTAACGATATTAAGTAGTTCTTCTCGAGATCAGAAGTTAGATTGGAGGATCATCCGTTCCGGATGTGAATATACGAAGCAATAGCCGCGTACACAATGTCGCCCTTCATGGATGGGTAATTAAATGTGGAATGCATACTGCTCAGTACGTATCGTATGTCTTTTATATTTTTTTGATTCAACAGTTATTAATACATTTATATTATAATATTTTTATATTAATAACCAGGAATCATTTTCAGATAATATATTAAGAAATTATTTTATTATTCTGTACATAGTGTATTGACCTCGAACAACTATTTGAATTTATAAATGGTTTTAGCATGATTTTCTCTTTTCGATATATTATATACAAAGTGTATATATATATATATATATATATATATAATATAGAATATATATATATATATATATATATATATATATATATATATTCTGACTTGTTAATAATTCTACTGTTCTTCATACAAAAGGTCATATGAAAATTGCAAATAGTATGTTCAGAGAAAAATAATTGAAACAGCAAATGTAATTAGCTTTATTTATTTAGCTTTAAAATTTTTAGGTAAATTTAACACTTTAAATTAGCTATTTATTTTCCATTTAAGAAATTTAACTACTTATTATAGTGAAAATAATTTCTTAGCCAGAGAAACTGGAAAATTTCTCTAAAATTCCTATTTGAGCTGATAAAGTTATCGGCAGAATTGTAACATTTCCTTATTAGTAATTCCTTAATATTTTAAATTATATATATGTTGTTATCAGATCAGTATAAATTATTATAATTGGCAATTGTTTAGTAATTTACTAGAAATTTCACAAGTATTTGCTTGTTAATTTGGAATTACTTGTACATATTTTTTTATTTTAATTATCATTTAGTTGATATATTTAAACTTTAAAATCATCATTTATTCTGAGTACTTCATTATAAATAAATAGTATTGAAATCTATTTATAACTACCATTAGTTTTAGATTTTTAATTGAAATATAGATGAAAGTTATTAATATAATTTATAAAACATTTTTATTTGATTTTCAATGAGAAAATTAAAAAATATTAAAGATTATATTCTAATCAAATGAGTATTAGAAGTAACTTTAACAATTTTGGAATTAGTAAGTGTTGTATATAAATTTTTTATGTGAATGTGTAAACCTCTTTCTTTCGTAATTTTCAATGTTATTATTGTAAAACTGCATAAATAAATGAAAATATTATTTATATTATTTCATACATCATATTTTATACTATTTCTATATAAAATAAAATATTAATCAACAATAATTATGTTTCACGGTACTCATAAATTGATTAACAATAAATATAAATAGTAAAAAATCTGTTTGTAAATCTCATTAACAAGATTATTTAAAATTAAGAAAGTATAAATGCCCAGAAATTTATGCTTTAAGTAGTCATTTGATTTATTACTGAAAAATTTCAGTTTTTATGTAATATTTTTATACAATGTAAATTTTTAAAAAGATAAAATATTCAAAGGCCATAAATTCTACTTCAAAACGGAAAATTTTAAAAATTATTGCACTACAATAATTGCAAACATTTAGCACAATTTTTTTTCTCCATTTTGATGAGTCTCCTGTAAAATATTTAAAAATTATTCGTTAATATCAGTTAAACTTATTGTTTAATATTAAAAAGTATAAAGTATATATCATTGCAATCTCTTACACATGGCCATTATAATTCATGGATATTAATTGTTGTCTTGTTTTTTTCCTTTGACTAAAAGTTTTTAAAGTTAAGTCTTACTTGACGTTGTATTTTAGTTTTATATACGAATTAAAATTTTTTATCATAAGAAATTTAAATTCATATTTAGGTTCAGCTATGTTCGACAAAAGTAATTATTTACCTATTAAGAAATTTATTAGTATACACAAAACAATGTAAAATTGGTTTTTTGGCACAAAGTTAAATTTTAATTTTATTTATGCATTGTATAAGTTAATAATTTGACGAAGTTGTTCAACCAGTTGTTCATCTAATACTAATTACTTTTACGAAACTGATCTAAATATGCAATAAGGATATAGTTAATGAAAGAGAAATTATACTAATTTACTTCTATATGGAAAATATATTTTAATGTGTATATTGAATGCATTAATGTAAAATAATATTTCATACATAGAAAAGTTTAAAGTGTTTAGTAAGCATAAATTAGAAAAGTGAAAATATCGATTTTTAGCTTTACACTTTCTAAATATATTTCCGTATTAACTTATTAAATTTTTAAGTATATCCAGTTAGTAGCAAAATCAAAATCGCTATCGATCCAAGAACTTTCATTATGCACGAAGTAGATATTTTTCCTTATAATAAAAAATAATATATTATTTTTGTTTATTTATTTATTTATTTTATTATATGTAATTTAAAAATTTAGCTAAAAAATAATATGATATAATATTATCAATTTGTAAATTTAGGATGGCTAAATTTGTTTGTTATATATTAGAAATGGAAGATATAATACTGTTTATTTCTATGATGCTGCATTATTAAAAATACGTATTGTTAGTCTATGATTATTATATTTATTACTTTTAATATACAATTATCTTCAATAATAAATGATAAACAGCTTCACTTTTAATCGTCAATGTGTACATTTAAAATTTACAATATTTTAATATCGATAAAAGTTATATTGTAATATACAATTCACATCGTGAGATAATATACTATATATATATATATATATATATATATATATATATATATATAGTATCATTTATATATGAAATTGTATATTAATAGAAATGAAAAGATTCAAAATATAATGCCTTTATAAAAAAATCGTTCATTGACAGAAATTTTAATTTATAAATTTTGAATTAATATTTAAACACTTTAATATATAAATGTTAAATTAAATTTATTTCTATGAAATTCAATAGTATTGCATAAAGAAATATTACTTTCTCCTTTGATTTAACTGAAAGTAATTAAGCATACGAATTTTTTATACTTAAGTATGTATTATAATTTTCGCATAAGTAAAACTTAAACATTATAATTCATTATATATTTTATAGTGTGAAATGAAACAATGTTTACAAAATAAAATAATTAAATCTGTTCATACTTTAAAATGAATATTTTTTTATTTTGTGCTTTTTAAAAATTCATTCATATATAAGAATCACTAATTATGAAATATATAAATATGATTTTATTGTCAATAATAAATTAAATTTATCATTGGAATTGTATTAATTGTTAATTGTCGAGACAGTTGAAATTCATAAATATAAGTTATTGTTACGATTATAAATTTATGGATAAATGAATTTACAGTGTAAAATTGTTTTCACAAGTTATTATCACTTAGCTAATTTGTATCTACATATTCTAGAATATCTACAATATTGTAATAATTGTTGTAAGAATTAAAAAAAGCTTAATCTATAAAATTCGATCTTAATCTGCTATTATGCTTTTGGATAAATGATTAGACTTACAATAAGCCTAAACTAAATTTATATTTGAAATTTGATCTATGATTTCTAAATACTTGTGTACATATAACATAATGATTTGAGACATAGTATTTCCTCAAATTAAAAGTAATTACTTTTATTTATGTACAAAAAGCATTTCTGTCCGATTACAAGAATAATAAAATATATCATTTATTAATTTACTTGAATTTCTCATTAAATAATGTTCAAATTATTGAATTTTTCTTTATTTTTAGCGTCTAATAAAATATTACTAATAATGATAAATTAATTCAATATATATTATCCTTGTTTAGCCTGAATATCTCAATTATCAAAGTAAAGATTAATTTAAGAAATACCAACAGGCTCGAATCTTACTAGTGACATTATACATACATATATAGTGTCAATAGCCAAATCTCAAATTATATCGGTACATGATCTCATATAAAACTAAAACCATTACATTCAACAATCATTGTAATTTTGCAAAAATTTATAAAAAAAAAAAACAAAAGAAAGAAACAAAAGAAAAACAACAAAAAATAAAAAAATACAGTGGAACAAAAACAATACAAGATTCACTCTCAAAATATAGAAATATAAAATGTTTCTCAGCATGTAGATATACAATTATTCATTAAAAATCCAGCCTGCCTTCACACACTCAACAGCGCTTCCGTTTTTCGATTGGTGACTCGGACGTGACGGTGGCAGGCCGTCGTTGCTTTCACAGCTTTGATTGCTGCTGCGTCCCTTTCCTCGGGATATTGGTAAACGGCTTGGCAAGTGGGTAAAGCGGGTGGCTCATCTTAAATTGGAGTATGTCGTTAATGCGCCTTGGTTCCTCAACTATAATCTCATCTTCGGACTTAGCGACATCCGCTGTTATTTGGGACGTCTTCTCTTGGATCTTTGTGCTACCTTCTGCAGTTGACACCACATGGATGCTCAATTTGTGTCTTTGTGGCGAATTTGTTTGTACAATATTCTGTAAATGGTTTCAGAGTGTAATTTGATAACTTGCTTGTTTTATTTTTTGTTACGGTATGTGATAGTGTTTTTTAACTGATAGACAATTTTTTATCATAAATTATGTTAATAATTCATAATAAAATAACGATTTTGCGACTTTTTTATTTTAGGTTAACGTATTATTGTAAAAATTTTTACCTTATAGAAGTCGATTATTTGATTACGCATAATTGTCTTTAAATATGCTACTTCAATGTTCATACGATCAAAGTTATATTGTTGTAAAGAAATTTCAAGCCAATAAATGCCTGATTGTCTGCTCATCATTTTTGGCTTTTCCAACAGTTGTGTAGCTAATGATTCTTTATGCCTATTAAATTCTTCATCGGACATCGTTGTAATATATTTCTGTAACATTTATTATTTTTAAATTTTTAAAAATATTTTTATAGCTAGTATACATATTCAAATGTTTTATTTAATGATTAATTGCATAAAATGCTTGCACTTAAAATGCTTAAAATTACTTAATGATTAAATCTTTGTTTAAACAAAAATAACTTATAAAAAGAAAATTTAAGTTATTGTGATATATTAAGATATGTAATATTTAATTTTCGATTTTAAATTATATAAAGATGAGTTTAGTATTGAAATTTTACTATTTACAATTATTCCTTACAAATGGTAAAAATCACTGTAAAATAATATTTATGTAGCTAATTACCAGCATTGATTCCATAAATAAATCTATTCTTTTTTCAACGTATTCCGGACTTTTATTGCTTTGTACAATTACTCGTAAACCCTGAACTCCATTATTCCTACGGATTCCACTAAATACAATGTAGCCAAGCTGCTCCTCGTTACGCAAAATATTAAAACAAGGTTCGGATATGATTTGTGTAAACAGTTCAAGAAGCATATTATTTTCAGTTGATTGCATTCCACTTTGGTAATAAATTTGTGTACATGAACTTACATGGTGTTTATTCTCTACTTTATATAAGAAATGGCAACCTAAAGTAAAAAAAGTGTTTTAATTTAAAAGTGTTTATATTTTTGCATTAAGAAAAATGCTATTCATAGACGTAAAAAGAAAATAAATGATACGTTTATTTACATTACATTAGTTAAAATAAATTTATTTTACCATTTGGTAATTCAACTTCTCTATGCAGCACTAATTGTTTGGGTAGTAGAGGTGTTAAATCCTTTACTGAAGAAATCAATTTCGATTCTAAAATCTTAACAACTTTTACAGCTTCAGTTTTAGTAATATTACCATGGATCAAACATTCAATATGCATTTTACTTAAAAGAAGTGGTACAAATTGTTTAACTCTTTCCGCTGTTAACACTAAAAATATAAAAGTTTTATGATACAGGACTAAATTATATATACATTATATGTATATGTACAGATATGTATGCATGCGTACACATATGCATGAACAAATATAAAATGTAATATTACATTAATAGAATTTATTTATATCTCTGAATCACTTTAAAACTTACTAGAACAAGCATTTAAAAGTTCATTTTTAACCCATATATGTTCCGATAAGAGTACTGTCAAATAATAAGCTGCATGTTGATAAGGTTGTTCAGTCTCAAAATTATTCAAGCCTCTGATGTACTAAAAATGTAAAATAGCAAATATAAACATAAACATATTATTTGAATAATATATTTTAATAACTTACGGCTTCTTTAAGTATTTCAAATCTCTTTTCGTCAATTGTAAAATTAACCATTCGTTCTAAAATTTTTTCTAGTAAAACATCTAATTTATGATCATATCCAGTTATTATTAACTAAAGATATAATAATTGTTTTATTTAATTAATTTAGAATATAAATGGAATATAAATAATGTAATAATTTACTTACGTTTAAACCATGCCTACAATTATTTAATTCCCATTTTAGACCTGCTAAATCGGCGTTGTATGCATATTCATTTAGAGAATCTTTGAATAATTGAACGAACATATAGGTCATGTTACTACTAATTGGATCAATGTAAGCGAGCGGACTGTAATTAAATAATTGAATATTTCAAAATTAAAAAAAAAGTTATAATCTATTATTAAAGGATAATTTTGAAATATTTACCAAAATACAATATATATCATAGACTCGCAATCAATCATATATTTACCTTACAAAATCAAAAGTCATTACAGCTTTAGGTACAAAGAATTCATCATCTTGTTTATACCAAACACGAACAAATGGATTGTCTTCTGTAATAACTGGAAATTTCTCTATCTACAAATATTTTAAATTCATTAGCAAATTTTAACAATTAAACAATATTAATTTAACAAAAATAAAGAATTATAATATAGTTTGTGATATTGTTTAATATTACTAAAAAATAATTATTTAAAAATAATATTGTTATTATACATTCTATATATGTATATATATCTTCATTTTTACTAGTATAGAAGTATGTATTTTTTATTTTAATAGAATAACATACACATTTTCTCCAATAGAAATTATTCTTGAATATAAATCCTTATAAAAACTTAATTCATTTGAAATATTTCATTTAGTAACGAAATAATTAGACAAGTTTATATTAGTATAATACCTTTATAAAATTTAAAGAATTATACCTTTTCATTGGGCTTAATATCAAATTTGCTTGGTATGAATTCATTCTTTTCAGGGAGATGAAATGCATCGTTGAAGCCAGCATTATTCCACTTATCAATTAGCTCTTTTGGAATTTTTTCCTTCTTATATTTGGTTTCATACCACTGTTCGACGCTATTTGCATCTTTATCAAAAACCTTGGCTACCACATGTACTCTGATTTTTTCTGGTACAAGATATTTTGACACCTCGTTTATAAGATCTGGCTTCCATTCAGTAAAAAATCTAGGATCATTTAGTACTTCTTCAATTGGATATTTCTGTAGGGACTGCACTGTGGATGTCACATAATTACTTGATAAAGATTTCTCTTTAAATCTGAAGTTCAACATTGTTATATCCTTGTATTCCTAGAATTTCATATTTATTCAATTTATTTGAATTATACAGTGTGGTGATATATTATCTATTAAAAGTCATTAAAACAACACGTAAATATTGTAGTTCAAACAAAATGTTATTTTATAATAGAAAAATTAAAAAAATTATATAATACATACATCGAAAATCCATTTTACCGGCCCCTCTTTTTTAAGCAAGTTGATATACTGAAAAGTCATTGTGATAATATCATCAACATGAAGAATTCCCTCTTCCGTTAAATCAACACAGACACTAAAAAAGTCGAAACCTCTGGCTGATGGTTTTTTTCCTGATACCAAAGAATTGCACCATCCTTTTTCTTTTAATGCAGATAATAATGAACCTTTTCCTTCATGTCCTAATAAATGCGACCAATAATACACAGGCTAAAATAAATACAATTTCATATTTAGTGTATTTGTATATTTAAAAAAAATATTTTGTGTCATTCAATATTGATATAAGAAAAATGTTTATATTTACAGAAGATCGAAAATGTTCTTGCAAGTCTGGAATAGGAAAAGTAATATTTAGATTTCTAACATCTTTTATTGGCACAATGAACCATTTTGTTTCAAAATGTTCATCATTAAATGGATGTTCAGTCCAATTTGGCGCTTCAATGTCTTTATTCTCAATATCAGAAAACATTTTGATTATCATTTTTTCTAAGTCATCCAAGTTCTCTATAAAATAATTTTAATACATAGTTAAGATTCTAATATTCTTTTTATACTATTCAGTATTTTTCTATTTTTAATTTACAATTTGTCTCAATTAGATTTACCTTTGCCAAGAACACATAAGGACATAATATTTGCTGAATACCAAGTATTGTGAAAATCTAATAGTGCTTTTCTTACATCAATATGTTTTTGTTTCGGTATAATATCCAATGTATCTTTATTTCCTGTTCCAAATTTAGCATATGCATGGTTTGGTTTTGCTGATGATTTATCTAATTGATCTAATCGCCAACTATCGCTGGCCAAATTTTTTTCATGTTCAGAATGTACAGCATTTATTTCTTTCTCAGTTACAGATTCCGTAAATAGAGGTGATATGAAAAATTGAGAGAACCGATCAAGTGCACCTTCAAATTTATCTGGATTAACATCAAAGTAGTAATTTGTATGGTCAAGATATGTTGCAGCATTACTAGCTCCACCATGTTGAGAAAGAAATTGGTTATAGTTGTTTATTTCTGGATACTTGGTTGTACCGAGAAATAACATATGTTCACAAAAGTGAGCAAGACCAGGTAATTCATCTGGATCACTTAAGCAACCTAGTTTAATAATGGATAGATATTTAGAAGAAATAATTAAATTTTTAGCCAAAATAAATTTGAATTATTTTTTGAATATAAAATTTATTATGAAAAAACTATTACGAGTAATATATTTTGTTAACATTAGATGTGTCATTATTTGCATAGACTTATTATAGTGTTAAAGCTATATTTTTGTCTGAAATTACTGAGGAACTTACTAAAAAATATGTTTACATATTATATAATAGTATTGGTATACTATTCAAAACTTACCAACATTGACATCTAAAGAAGCAGCACTTTTGTGAGTCATTGGATCACTTACAAGCAACACTTTCAACTTATTATGCAAAATCAATCCTCTGTAATCTCTTTTATCATTAGGTGATTTAATAATCTGATCATAACGAGTTGGCTCTCTATATTGATCTTTGTTTGGTTGGGTCATTAAATCTCTTTTTTTAGAACTAGAAATAATTCAAAAATATCATTTATGCAATAAATAAAATATATACACTGCACATACTTTAAGCAAAAGTTCAATATTTTTTATTAAATCATATACAAAATTATAGGTATTTACTATTCAAAAATTATATTTTAGAATGACAAATTGAAATTAATATTTCATTATTTAGAAAATTCAATTTAATTATATTCGAGATTATAATTAAATATTTCACTGTCTATTTTATTAAAATTTGTTCAGTATAATGATTTTTCAATAACTGGCTGACAAAACTAGCTAAAATTTGTTTGCAATAAAAATTAAATATTCTTACATTTATATTATTTGAAATTATATTTATCTTAATTGAATAATAATAAAAAAGAAGCTTCATTATTCAATATAAAAATTAGGATTGATTTTATCTTTTTGATTTGAATTAAATACAATTTCTCATTTAATTTATTTAATATACTAAACATTTTTTGTCATATAAAATACGTTATTAAATTATATATATCATTCGGATTCAGTTTCATAAAAAAACAAAATATTTGAATTCTTACACAGTGATATTATTGCCTGAATCTGAAGTCTGGTTTCTTTGTTGTAGTGAAGACATCCTTATTTTTAGAGTAGAATGAAATGCCTGTCTTATAGTTAAAAAATAAAATAAAATAAAACCAAATTCATGAAAAGTTAACACCTTGCAATGTCAAAATTATATATTCCATACTAAGATAAACAAGCATATCTAGACTGAATTAAATGGTGGATAGTTTAAAAAAAATGAATTTAGGCTATACAACCAAATACTGCAATATTTAATAGGCGTAAAAATGAAATACTTTTTCCGCGTGTATTCGTCAGTTGTCCAAGAAGCAATGAATAATGAAGGTAAACACGCGTCACATAATAAAATTGGATCATCCAATCATATGAGCGTTATTTAAGAATGCGTGTGTTCAGTTCTTCAGTATACCCGCGAAAAATTAGAAGAAGTATAAAGGAGGATGAAAAAAAGAAAGAAAATGAAAGAGAGACAGAGATAGAGAAGAAGGGAGAATACTGAAAAAACATAAAATCAATCGTATACAAAATATAGATAGTTGAAAATGAGGTTATATAAAATGTTTCTTTTTTTAAAAACAAAATCAATGATTTTTAAAAATATTCACATTAGTTTTAATTTTTGTTAAAAACGAACGAATTAAATAAATAAAAATTCTTATTTTCAAATATTAAATTGCTTTATTTATTAAAGAAACTGTTTATTGAATATACAATCAATTAATTTTTAATAATAAATTAATTGTAATAATGAATTTTGTTTTTGAAGTTATAAATATTGATGAGATTTTAGCCGATATAATTTGATTGATTTAAAAATGAAAACGTACAACAAAAGTTATAACATAATCTAACGAGGTAATTATAGTCGAAATTTATATTGCTGATTATAAGTTGGATTGTCAATTACTAGTTTATAATCTGTGGTTACTTATTCTTTAAAATATGTTACATAAGACAACGAAAGCAAATATAATAAATTTCAATTCAATTTCTTATAATATCATTTTGATTACTTTAAAAAATATTAGTCGTTACCAATAAAACGATGAAACAAATATTGTAATTTTATTTCGAAAGTAGTAGAACATTTTTTAATGTTTCTATAAGTGCGTTTTGGTAACAAATTTTCACAGAAGTGAAAATGTAGTAATAAAATAAAAAGTGAAAAATAAACTAAAACATATAATATTAAATTATAAAAAATTACAAATAAATAAATAGACAACTTACGTAAAATTAGATATACAATAAAATACATATATTTTATAAAATAAAAAGTAAACTGTAAAAAGTGAAATTCAATTAAGGTTATGTTTGAAATGAAAGGCATTAGAAAGATACTTCATATTTTACCTGGAAAAGATGAAGGTTTGGAGAGGAAAAAAGGCAAATCTCAGAGACACCAGGCTTCTAGTTAACATTTGAAAATTACTCAGCATGCGAAATTACAAAATTATTTTATTTTGCTAGTAGCAAGCGGCTTCTCGAAAAGAAACGGCTAACAACTAATTTTCTCTACGTGTCTCCAATTCCCCCGGAAAGTTCCTTCCAAATATTCATACACGATTTGAAGTGAAGCACTAATTCATAAGTTATTTTTTAATTATTTGTAGAAATAATATTGCACAGATATTATTATAGATAATATTTCTCGAAATTAATCGATAGTATGACAAATATTAAAATTAGTTAACTAATTAAAATATAATTATATAGATAAAGTTAAAAATATTTTGTTTTATGAAATTAAAAAAAAAATCGATAATTTTTTACGTTTAATTAAAGAAATATTATTTTCAATGTTGATTATTTCAAAAAATATTTGTAAAAAGATAGAAAGTCGAAGTTACATTGTTTAGGTTTGAAAAATTTTGTTACTTAGATATAATAGATTGAATTATTAGTCAGTAATTCGGTAGATAATTTAAATTAATTATAATAGAAATTTATAAAATAAAATTATATGTTTTATATATTTTATAACTTTCTAATATATTTCTTTTGAGAAGAAATACAAATTTTGAATTCAATTATCCGTAAATTTCGAATAAATGAAGGTATATAGTAGTGTAAACTAAGTATTATTAAACAATATTATTTATTTAATGCATATATTTAAAAAATCATAAAAACAATTAACAGTATTAATATGCATAGTATTGTAAATAGACAAAGTGATTTTAAATAAATAAATTGTTTAAAATAATTATTAAGCGAAATTCTGAACATTTTGTTGAAAATCAATTATGATACATCGTTTTTATAGAATTACAGTTTTTTTTGCAAGTACTATTGAAGAATAATTATTATAATACATAGTTATTAGCTTATAAGTCAGATACTTTCAAATATTTTGAATACTGGTTCTGTCAGATTAGTCACACATATTTATGATCACAAAATATTTAATCACTAATAATTTAAGTATTCGTCGACAACTTTAATGTATCCAAGTTTACAATACAAAGTTTTTGTCTTCTTCAAATGTTGACGGAATGATGTGGATGTGTTATCAATTGTTATACCTTGTAGATATTTCGAAATTAACTAAAAATCAATAAAATATACAAAAAAGAGAAAATTGAAAAAAAGAAGCATTCTAATTTTATTTATACAGATTCTGTATTAATAATATAACTTAAAAACAAAACTCTTTTTCACATTAATTTTCTCTTCGAAATTTTAAAAATTAGATTACTTCATAATTGTGATTTTAGGTTCTAAATATTAGTGAAAAGCTTTTTTGTTTATGCACTTTCAATTACTACATGTGTTCCATACCTATCAATTTTCTTTCTCCCTCTTTCTTTAAGAATGGTCTTATTTTACAAGTATTAATAGAAAATAAAGATGAAAAGATAAAATTATACATTAAATTTGTAATATTTGAACATTGACTTTATTAATTTTTTCTCTTTATTTTATATTTCGAAATATGTCAAAAAATCATTAGAAAGTGACAATAATATTAGTCGTGCTAAAGGTATGATAAAAGTAAATAAGACACCTGTTCATTAATAAAAGTGTTTATAATTGGCTTATTCTAATCGAACTTATGACAGTTGAATTTTATGATTACCACAAAAAAATATTTTATATAACTATTTACAATTATTATATAATAATTTACAATAATTTTGCATTATAATAATTGGAAGAATATATAAATATTTTCGAAGGTAACTATTTTTAAATACATATACAATAAAATCTGCAATGCATTACTGTTAATTCAGATACTTCAAAGTAATTTATTATTAATTTATTTACAAAAATATAGCAAAAATTATTATTTGAAAATACTCCATATAAGGTAAACTAATAATAAAAATAAGCTACAATTCAAATTAGATTATATATACTCACTATATTGATTAAAATACTATTGTATTGATTTTTGAACACATATATAATTATTTGAATAAAAAAAATATACCTGCAAATAAAGGTTGTTCATTATTATAATCAATATTACTTTAGGAATACAAATTATTTATAATTAGAATTAAAACACTAATTTTATTTTTATTATAATTGTTGATTTATTGATCATTTAAACGAATCAAATTTTATAAATTTTTTAGTTGATTATTTTAATAATTTGAGTTTTTCCAAAAAAAATATAAGAATTTTTAATGATATATATTTTTAATATATATAAAGAATTTATATCGTTTATTTAATACTTATTTTTCTTTATAGGAGGTAAGATTTAAAAATTGATATTATAAGTTAATCGAATATAATTTTATAATATAATATTCAACAATTGAATTAATATTGTTTTAATTATATACGTTAGGTGGCTTGTATATAGAAAGTTATTATAAAAAAATTGTATTAACATAAATCATATTGTAGCGTTTCGAAATTCAATCCATTTTTTTCGAATTTCTTGATTTTTTGGGCCCCAACTGTTGCATGGTTCAAATGCCCGTTTAAAGATCTGTGAGTAAAAAAATATTTAAATAATTAAAATATGTTATTTAGAGGTTTCAAATAATGTTATTCTTATGCTTTTTCATCTTATTGATATGGAATATTGGAATGTTTTATTAAAGTTCGCGTAATATCATCGCATTAAAATTCAAATATATTAATGTTTATATCAATTACATATTTAATAATTTTTTTATTTTCCCTATTAAATAAGATAATATTGTAAATTAAAATTTTATTTGATAAATAAATAAATAAATAAATGTCAATTTTACATCAGGATAAGTATAACTTCTATTTTTAAAAAAAGCGATGGTCATCCATAATGGAATTTGCAGCAGGGCAAAGCTAAATAAAATCCATCCAATAACTAAAAAAATTAAATATGCATGTTAAAATTAAAAAATTATGGAAATTTTTTTTAATTTAAAACTAATTATATATATATGTAATTTGTAATAAACTGAGTAAATTGTAATTAAATATAAAGAATTTTCATTCTTAAAAATATATATTTTTGTTACAATTACATCGATATAGTATTAAAAAAATAGATATAACTTACTATAAACAAAGTGTGGATAGTAAACATTATTATAAGTTAATAATTTATGATTGATTATACTATACGAAAAAATTATTCCAATAAGAATTGGAGTAACAAATTTCCAGCAAATAAGCCAAAACATAGAAAGTTTACGTTTCAACATGAATTCGACATCAGCTAGAAAGTTTTTGTGACCTTTAAAACAATTTATTATTAATTCATTATTAAATATCGATGTATAATATATATTGAATTGAAGGTAAAACATATGACAAAAAGATTACCATAAATATAAAAAATAGCCATTAGCTCGAAGATGGCGGGGACAAAAGCAACGAATGAAGTTGCGTAAAAATCCACAAATGTTATCATAAATTGTCCACCCTGATGAAATTAAAGTCATCATTATTTATAATATATTTATAATATGTACATATTCATCATTTCATATAACAAAGTTTATTTTTATTTTATATAAATATAAAGTTTTATGCAAACATGAAATCCAAAAACCTTTATCACATATTTTTTTTCATTTGTATTTTAAACATTCATTTGTATTTTTAAATCTTTGTTTCATTTAATTTATATTTTAAACAGATTTTAAATTTTTGTAGTTTTTAAATTATTTTTTTGCCCATAAAATATTTTCTATGTTATAAGTTTCATGAAAAATATGCTTGTGGTAACTTGCATTTATTTTCATTGCCACTTTTAAAAGTATATCAATATCAAAGTAATGCTTTAAATAAACAATAAGTGCATATCATTGACATATTAGATTGACATATTAGAGCCTTTAACCTTTATAAACAATGTATCATAAATAGATTATAGAAATTAAATTTTCAAACTTCAAGTACTTCTATATTTCATCATTGGTAATCGGTAATAATAATAACTTTTTACAATAGTATACAACGGAAATTGGTGGTTTCGAGGTTGAAACGATAGTCTTACTGGAGTAACGTAGATAAGTCCAATAAGGAACTCGAGTGCGACGACGATACAGGCAAGGGGCCATAATCGACAGTGAGGAAACTGGTCGTGGAGGACGGTGATGATACTGGAAGTGAGGGCGGCCTCGCTACCCACCCCCAGCACGAACATCATTACGAAGAAAATGATGGAGAAAAACTGCGGCAGTTGACTGAATTTCGCGATTGCATCCGGGTAAGAAATGAAAGCGAGTCCAGAGCCGCTGCGGACGACGTTGCTAATGTCATCGGTGCCCAGCTCGTGGGCGAGATTACCCAAGATCCCGAAGATCGTGAAACCAGCCATGAGACTCGTTAGGGTATCCAGACTCGTCACAATCTGAGCATCCCTGTTATTATATATATCTCTGTTATTAATATAAATTATACTTCGATGTTAAGGGACTTTCAACTATTTTTTTTATATATATACGGTATAAAAGGACGTTAAATAATGCAGAAAGTGAAAATTTTCATGGCTTAGTAATTAAAAAGTATGTAAAATAGTCAAAATACAGCATTTAACTTTATTTTGTATATTAAATTTCTAGAAATAGTAAAATTTATTTTTATACGAAATGTAAAATAACTTTTAAAATAAATTAACAAATTTTAATAATTCAAAATAATGTGAACATAGTGATGTGTTAACACAGTATCTATCAGTTAAAGCACTTTACTTTTAAAATAGGTTAAAGTACTTTACTTTTACTTTAACCTATTTTATTAGTAAAGTAATAAGATATTGAGATAAAATTTCTATTTTTATAATTGTTAACGAAAGTGCATATTATTATCATTACTGACTAAGATTATAATTTTGAAGTGACTAAAATCAGAAATATACAATACCATAACTGCAAATTATATAGAGTATTATTTTGTTTAATGTTCAATATATTATTTAAATGTTAGTGAAATATTTTGTTAATAATAGTAAACTCTTAAGTGTATATTTGAATGTGTGTGTTTGAGTTTGGGCTTGTACACCTTTGTGTATGTGTTTGAGTGTGCGCGCGCGTACATTTGTTTTTCATATTACAAATCAGTTTTTATATTACTAACTATTTACTCCACTTTTTTAAGTCTTATTTGAAATATTTAACTTACTTTAGCGATATAGTATATAACTACGTTATATACTAAAAATATTATATACACATTAATGACTTGCATTTCATTATTAGTTAAATTATGAAAATACAAAAAAATAAGAAGTAGTTTTCTTAGTGAGTGAAGCTGATCACCTGTAAACGTCATGATTGAATTTGTTGTGTGATGAAAACATGATGATGGGTCCAAAGCAAACCGTGAGCGAGAAGAAGCACTGTGTGACGGCGGCATACCAGACGTCGGCCTGAAAGAGTTTTGACCAATTGGGCCGAATGAAGTAAAGGATGCCAGTAGTGGCGCCCTCTAGCGTCACAGCCCTTATGAGCAAGGCTATCATAATGACGTAGGGGAATAGGGCGAGGAAGTACGCGGCTTTGCCAGAACTTTTTACGCCCTGCACCACTACCAAGAGCACGCAAAGCCAACTGAGGGCCAGGTATATGCTTAAATGCCAATCTGGTGTGCCCAAGCCATCCAATATATTTGCCTTTTCATGGATAACTTCTTTGCTGTAGTGGTTGGAAATTTACTTTGAATACTCTTCTTTAATAATCTTTTGCAATATATGTAAGATTGTGATAATAGTGAAAAGGGTTTTTTATATTAAAAGACTTGATTTCTACAAATAGCATAAATATAATATTTTGTTTTAATTTATAAATTTATGTATTTTTATGATTTATCGTTTATATTACGAATAAGTTTCAAAGTGCTTAAAATTACTATTGTTCTAATGAGAAGTCAGTTAAAAATTAAGTTCTATTATTAATTTATCTATATTATCAAACTTAAACATACTTCAAAATATATATTTTTATTATGAAAAAAATATACATTTTATTCTCAATTCAGTATAAACACTCATAATTCATAAAATTCTGAATGTAGATTAAATATTTGGTATTATGTCAAAAGTTGTTGGAACGGAGTTATCATAAAAATATAATTTAAAATAAAAATAGTAGAAAATTATTACTAATTGGTTAACTTCAATAGAAAATTAAAAATTATACTTTGAAATACATTTGGAAATATACTTGGAAAAAAATTAAAAACAAAGGATAAATACTGGTCATTATATATATTATAATTTTATAACATAACATTGTAATTTTAATATTGCAATAGTAGTCATTAGATTGCATAAAACAGAATATAGTTCGATCAGTAAATCTTTTTAATTAAATTATATTTCTATAGTCGGATATTAGGCTTAAACATTAAAGCACTTAATGTAAATAATATTTTTGGTTATCGATTTATTAGTACGTAATTTATGTATGGCTTTAATTTATGTAAATTAAACTATTTTTATTTAATAAATTCGTTAAATCTTACTTATATATTTCTGATTATTTTAATTATATGTGATTTTGAGCAATTTTTACTTAAAAATCTAATTATGCGATTAGATTATTAACATATAATATAAAATCATATAACATAATTAAACAGTTAAATCAAATTTTTAATTACATATAATTCACAAACATAAAACCACTAGTTTTTAAATGAAATATATGTACTTATATTAACTACAATATTTTTGAATTTTTGCAAAGATCGAGTTTGTGATTTTGTTACTTCAATTTAAAATGGAATTGAAAATCTAAAATTTATAAATTACTTCAGATAAAGAAAAAAAAGAGATAAATTATTATATACATGTAAAAACATTCTTTCAATGTTAGACATTTGTATTTCCATAAGACCGATGCACTTCAGAGATGCATTTTACATTATTTATTAGAGAAGTAATTTGATTTTACAATGTGAGATACTTTTTATCATAGGCATTGTTTCCTTTGTATATGTAGTCAATTATTTTTATTTCAATACATGAGCTAATGTTGTTTGATACGATTGTCGACTTTACGAACACAGGAGTTGGATGCAATATCAAAATCAATGTTAATTTGCAAAAAATATAATTAATTAATGAGAATAAGCTGTGAACACATTATTATAAAAACTATGTAATAGAGAATTTTAATTGATAATTTAAAAAAACTTAACGATTGAGTCATACAAATTACTATAAAATTTTTATTTAAGCAGTTGTATAGATGATGAAATTTGTTAGAATTATATTTCGGTTATAAAACTTAATAATAGTTTTGATAATAATTATTTTAAAGAAAATTATTAATTATACTTGGAATATTTTGTGCTTTGTTTATATTTTTAGTAGTAATTCTTTATAGGAACTTTATAGGAAAAAGTTGTATTTATATTTTTGTCTTACATTTTGAATATATAAATTTGTAAAATTGAATTTATTTAACATTTGCAGACACTTTATATTATATAACTTTATTTATCATTACTGTTTATTTTATTATTATTTTTACTTTTCTTTAAATTGAGATTTTATATTTCATCTTTTAAATAGCCCCCTAAAGATCGGCAAAGAAAAAAAAATTTAAATAAACAATATATCAATAGAATTAAATCATATTTTTATTAGCTAACATCGATTAGGGATTATTTTATACTTATATTTCTTTACGATAAGATAAATCGAAACAAATTGTAAGAGAAATAAGAGACGAACTACTTTTATTAAGTGGTATAATTTGTATAAAAAAGTTATATATATTATAAAGTAAACAAGTTAAATATACTTAATGTTTAAAAATATGGTTAAAAAATGCTTAAAAATATTTTTTGTAGAGTAAAACTATTAAAGAGTAAAAATTTAATATTTAAAATATTGCGCGTTTCTTGTTGTCAATGTAGTGCAAAATAAAATATTATTTTTATATATTTTATTATTGAAAACATTTTTAAAAACTATCAGTTATTTATTATCTGTAATTTTAATTACATTTGTATTTTTCGAACAGAAATAATTTTGTTATTTTATATAAATTTGTTAAAATATTTTAGGATTATTGTTAAATAATTAAATGAAATTATTGTTGACATAATTTTGTGATCAACGATGAGATTCTAAAAATAATTTTTTTGCAAAACTTTTTGATTATATGACTAGTAATTGCTAAATTATTTCATGATATGAAAGAAATAAAAATAGTATATAACATATAAGTATTATATATAATTCTAGTCAAATTTATTTAACGAAGCGTAAAATCTTATAAGGATGAAGATTATTCTGATTAAGCAAGCGAATAATAATAGTTTTAATATGACGAATTAAAATAATTTATCGCAATGAAAATATACCAAATAAATAAAAAACGCTTTACATATGTAACTGAAAATGTTATATTAAAAAGAACTTATACTTAAGTCTTTAAATTTTCTTTTAATTTTATTATAAATTTTAATTAATAAATTATTCCATTTGAAATTTGATTCAGTAAAGTGTGATATAGAAGATTTGTATTTTTTAAATTGAACTTGTTTAAATAAATAAATTAAACATAAATTATTAATTTTTACAAAGTTTCAATAGAATTAAGACAAATTATTCTGTCGCTTATTTAATTTTTATAATATATATAAATAATTCATATAAACATACTTAGTTAATAATTATTATTTTGTAAAGATTGAATAACTAAGTATTATTTTATTATGTTTTGTAATATTATGTAATTTTATTCAAATTCTATGCAAATATAATAATATATATGACTTATCGTAATTTTATTACTATATTATTTTAAATATTTCAACTGTATTTCCATTTTCTCTATGCAGTAATAATTTACGTTAAGAATAAAATTTATATTTTATCTATAATAGCCGTAATTTACATTAAAAATAGAATTTTCTGTCTTCCTTATTACCTGTTTGTTTTTTATAATAGGAATAGATTATTTAATATTTTAGTTTAGATTATAAAATTAGACACATATTTAAACCAATATTTAAAAATTTTAATAAAAAATTATCCAAAATAAATTCTATATAAGAAATATAAAAATAATAAATAACGGATTGAAGTATTTAAAAACAAATTTTTTTTATTTAATGCAGTATACTTCTTTTGTTATAAAATCAGGATGTTCCGTAGTAGTTTTCGAATAAAAAGCATTTATAAAAATATATGATTATGAATTTTCAAAGAAAATTACAATTGTTTTAATATACTATACTATAAGTTTATATGCATTACCTTTTTCATTAAATCCTATTAAATCCTATGATTATTTGTTTAAACAGTATCACCTTTTTAACACAAAGAATATGTATTACAAGTAAGCTACAAAAAAGCTAAAGAAACATCTATATTATTTATGTAACATATTTTGCATAGGTGTCTATAAGAAAGAATAAATAACAAATTACTAACTAAAAGAAAAGCTCGGCAGAACTCTTGCGAATCCAGTCATCGAGATTTGATGAATTCTTGGTGAAAGACGAGTCGATGCAATTTGTACCCCATTCTGGACGGCACTTGGACCAGGGTAATTCTGACTGCAGGCTGGCGATTAAATAGAACAGTGTCAAGGCCATCAAGGAGCAATAATATGAAGCTAGCGCTGATAGGATAATAATTTGAGCTATTCCAATACCTATAAATATTTTTGGGTTCATTTGGATAGAGCAACTATATCACTATTTATTAATTTTAACATATTATTTTTATTAGATTTGTGTAGTCGGTTACCATTTATGATTTTTTCAAAATATATAATACATTTTTGCTGCAACTACCGTAAGTATTTGTAGTGTAGTAATGCTCTATAGGTTAAGTTTACTAAGATTCTAATTATATCTTGAATAATAGTAAAAAAAATAGGTTAAAGTTGAAAATATTTATAGTCTTTTTATTCAAATAGTAACTTAATGTTATAGAAATGTTACAACTTTTTCTTAATTTTTGCACCAACAATAGAAAAGTACTTTTCAAAGTTAATTTAATCAAATATGACATATTTTCATTTTATTAAAATTATACTTTTAAAATTATTAATAAAAAATACTTGAATCAATGTAACAAGAGAGCATCAAATAAGGCAAGAAGTCTTACCTTTGAAAGCTGGCACCATGTCCCATACCTTAAGTGCTGACCTGCTGGAAAACTGTCCCAGTAACATCTCGAGGAGATAGTAAGGTTTGCCAACTAGGAAGAGTATGATTATGTAGGGAATCAGGAAGGCTCCACCTCCGTTCTCGTAGGCAGTGAAGGGGAAGCGCCAAACATTGCCGAGACCGATGGACATGGCGATGCACGAGAAGAGGAACTCATGATCGCTGCTCCATTGCGCGCGATCGTGCTCCTGTGATTAAATAAAGTATATTCGTACTCCCAATATAGATTCCCATCAATAATTGAAATTGGCTGTTCAGTGAATTTCTTATTCACTGGTTTTATCTATTATAATTCCTAGAGCGTGACTTTTGATACTTAGTTATTCATTAGAAAAGTAGTCATTATCGAAAAGAATTCCAACGAAGTGATTTTCCTATAAATTTTGAGAATAAACGTACCAGAATAAAAATAGTCATAAACAATACTCTTATTAAAGCTTATTACTTATTGTATTTCAAACCTATGTCTACTTAATTATTCAATTTTATTATCAGATAAAAATACAATTTCTGTAATAGGAAAATTTTTTTTAATATTTAACGTTTAATCAAGTCAAGTGATTTTATTAGAAAATTAATAAAAATATTGTGGTAAAACAATTATTTCGGTTAACAGGGTAATTAATTACTTTCTAAATATTAGTTATTAATAAAATAAATTGTAAATTTAATATAGACTAATTAAGACTTTGAATAATTTAGAATTTATGGTTTTTTTTTATTTCAGAATTTCTAAATGTAATTTTGAACATAAAGTATCTTATAGGATAAGAACAAGATTAAAATTATTCTAAAATATTTATTTTACTTTATTAACACCTTTGTTTAAAATCATATCTTTATAATTCAAAATATTATAATTTTAGCCTAAAATAATTGATATTTACGAATTTTTATATAATACAAAATATAAAAATCATTAATTAAAACAATCTAACGATTTTATAAAAAAAAGGTATTCTCTAACATTTAATGTTTTCCATTTCTTTTTGAAATTGAAACATAGAAATTATGTAAGAATTATATGGAAAGCAATCATTTGTATTGTGAATTAACTCAGTGCAATTTAATAATTAATTAATTTAATAATTTTCTTTAATTTAACATGATATTGATAATGTGATATGAAATTAATGTAATATATTTTAATATCAAAATTAAATTTTTATATTTGGTCAATAAACCTTACTATTTTATTTTTATTGATTTATTCAATACAATTCATTTTATTTAATTTCCATTATAAAACTTGATATTTACATTATTGCAATTTTTAATTTTTGATTACCATTTGCATATAGATAAGTATTGATATTAATCATTTTATTATTTAATTCTTTCTATTTATATTCTAAGTTCATTAGTTAAATGAAAATTAATTAATTGAGTAGAAATGAATGAAGTGAATATAAGTTATTAAAATTAAACAATGAAAATTAAGCAATCGACTACACAATTACTCGAATTATCAGTTCATATATATAACGAATTTTATTCCTAGAAAATCCTTCACAGTATAATATATATTCATAAATAATACTTCTTAAATATTTGTTGAAAAGTGTTTTAAAAATCATAATATACTTTAAATCATTACATTCAGTTGAAAATATAAAGTATTTCTTAATTTAAAAAAAATTATTGTTCAACATATAAATCACTATATTATTTTTTCATTTATTTTAGGTCTTTTTATTTTAATTGTTAAATCTTTTTTTATACAGTTATCATGTTATAGAGATCAAATATTATATGTCATATGAATATATTAATATAAATATTAATTTTAAATAAAATAGAAGAATACATTAATTTTTATTGTATTCATTTAAAATGGTTATTGCAGGTCTATTATTAGTGCCAAAATATAAAACGACAAAATTATAAAAAAATACATGGTTATACTAAATTTAACTAAATACATAAATAGTATTTATAAGTTGAAGATAAATTAATTATTTCCTTTTTACCATACATTTATTTATCAAGCATAACTAATTATACAAGTGAAATGCTGATAATTTATTAAATTCGTGTCGTTATTGTATATAAAAATATTAAACGTTTTATCTTAACAAGTATAATAAGAAATAAAGTCATTTAATTACTTTAATGCAAGTGTAAACTAACACTTTATGAAATTAATTAGTATTTGATGTTTGAGATATATGTTTATATATCTTGCAATAAATTTTATATAAAATAAAATTTTTTATAACATTTTTTAAAAGAAATTTATTGCAATATATTCTTACGAGTTTATTATTATAAAATATTTTATCTATTAGCATTTTCAATAAAAAAATTGAATAAAAAAATACAGTATTCTATATTTTGTTATCAATTGCTTAAATTAATAAACCTAGAAAAATGATATTTTCTAATAAAGTTGATAATAAATTGAAAATATTAATTATTTACATAAATTCATATTACATACAAATAATTATTTATTTAAAAAATATTCGTATATGAAAAATCTGCATTCATTGATTCTTTAATAACAAAATTAATTTATTATTATTTAAAAATTGTGAATACACCAAAAGAAGGAAGCTGTTTTATAAATATAAATTTATAATAATTAATTGTTTATTCACGAATACCGAAACCATTTTTAAATGAGAAACTAATATTTATTATTTTCTGTACTTTCTTAACAGAAATGGAACAGAAACGGAAAACCGAAAGAGCCAGAATGAAACACTACAATTTATCACGTTTAGAGTTATATACTACGTTTATAGGTGTTATAAATTTACAATATCTTCTGCAAAGAAGAAAAATAAATTATAATTATATTTGCAATTATAATTGTTTGTACATTCTTATTAAAAACCGATAGCACTGTACCATATATATGATTCACTTATCAAAATAGTTTTATATCTCCAATGAAATGAATTTAAAAAAAATTTAAAAAGTACTGTCTAAAATAAAATGATTACTAAACATGTGAATTGAATTTTCATAAATTTTGATTGTAATGTTAATTATACATCGTAACATTTAATTACAATGTTTAACGCAATTGAGATTACTAACGTGAAATGCTTCGCAAGAAGTTAATGTGGAAAGTTAATTTTATTTGTTCAAATTATATACATTTAGAATTGTTTCATAATTTGATGAAACGTACAAGTATTTTATGATAAAATATAATGTATTTAATCGAATGACAGGTCATATTATAAATTAAAATTATTAAATAATTTGATTAATATGATATAGAATTCTAAGAACTTGAATAGTTTTACATGTAAAAACAGTTATTATAACTTTTTATAAAATACAATCCTTGGTTCAATGTGGGTATTCAATCATATTAACATAATTATTAAAATGATATTTTTAAAACATGCCGACTAAATAACACTTATATTAATAAATTTACATTAAGTATGATTGAATTTTACTTTAAAATATGTGCATACGGATGAAAATATTAGAACTTTTTATAAATATTTCATTTCAATTTTTACTAAAAACATATTCTTTAAAAATGATCAATAAATATATTATCATATAAATAATATATAAAGATATAAAAATAGCTATAAATTTTTTTATAATATTATATAATAATTATTACAAGCGATTAATAACTTCAATCTTTACCAAAACTTCAGTATCTATATATAAACAGATTCATAGTTATTTTTTCAATATTTTACTTTTTAATGATCATATGCACTATTAAAGTCAATTAAATTATTTATGCGCAAAAATTAATTTTTAAATTAATAAAATTAATTGATTAATGAAAAACAGAAATTTTATCGCAAATTTTAATCTATTAAGATAATATTTTATTGTTTGCTATAAATTTTGAATTTATTTTAGAGGAGTACACTTTGAAATATCACAAAATAAGAAAATGTAAAACGTAGTAGTTAGTTTATTATTTTAAAAAATTTTAACTATCATTTTGTAAATGCAAAAAGAAACTTACAGGCTCTGCCATCTACTAATCAAGGAATCGAAGAGAAAATAAACAGAAAATAAAAAATATCAGCCAGAACAATTACGAATGAGCAGTGTTCAAAATCACTTCACTTACTGATAAAGATTTCTATAACAAGATTCTACTACTCATGAGATCAGGTATTAAATCCAACTAAGATAAGGTCGATTTTAAAAGTGAAAAAAATGAAATTATACATTTAATTAAAAATGCTTTGATTAAAATAATTTATATAATAATACTTTAATTAAAAATAATTTACTCCAGTAGAAAGATGTTGAAGATACTAAAATATATTTTTCAAGCAAGAATATAAATTGTACTTGTAGCCATATGTAAAATAAAGGAGTCATACGTTTTTGTTCCTAATTGCATAATTATTTCGATTAACTCTCTTTAAATATTAATTGAATTATTTATTGTACTTGGTGAATATAACCTTTGTAATATATGTTAGGCTGATTAGATTTTTTTCTGAAATAAAAATTAACTTCATCTTTATTCGAAATAGATTTGTGTTTGGAATTGAACTGTTTGATTCATTTTTATGTAGAATACGGAATAAAATTTAAATTTTATTAGAATATTTTACTATTGATTTGAAAAGAAATAGTAATTATTAAGGATTTCTATTGGATTAGTCAATTTTAGTAATTTATATATGTTAAAATGTAAAAATTTTGTTGTATACTTTAGAAATTAATTTTTAACGAATTATAAGATTCACAAATATTTTAATGCATGTAAATAGATACATATAGTGTATATTCAATTTTACACATGCAGTTTATGGGTATTTCATTAAATTGTTTATATCTTATAATAAATTTAAATATATAATCTTTAAAATAAATAAAATAATAATAATATTTTTTTTTCTTTCAATAAATTTATAGTAATCACTACATTCGAATTTTTTATTTCGTAACTATATTCAAAGTATATCTGTAACAATCTGTAATAATATTTTGTGTGTATACCAAATTCTCATATTCATATTAGTTAAAAAATGTTTAAATCAGAAACAAATATTCAGTTAAGAAAAAAAAATGATGAAGATCCAAAAGGTTTTGTTCGTGCATATTTGAAAAAGAAATGTGTAAACGACAATTTTATTAATGATATCCTTAAATTTGGACTGGTAGAACAATGCATCAAGTAAATTAATAACCTTAAATTTTGATTTCAAAAATAATTCTGAGTTATGTAAATATAAGAACTCAGATTGATTTTGAAATTTTTCAATTGTGAACGTATAATATATACTATAATATGGAAATAGAATATTTTATAAAAAAAATATTAATGAATTTTGAAAATTAAATATTTCATTTTAACAATTTGTTTAGAGTATTATTAAGTCAAGGGTTTACTAATGATGATATAAAACTAATAAAAAACAAATTGAAAGAAGAAAATGATTCAGATATTTGTGATTGCACGTACACTTTTTAGGTTAATTTTCTATGTAATTACAACATACAATATTTAATTGATTTCCTAATTTATTATAGGTCTTTCGATAAGCCAAATTACAATCATTAGTAAACATTTAGATGCTGATTACTTGAAAGTACACTTTAATACTATTTTATCGTCGGGCTTGCGTGAAATTGTATTGAAAAAGCCTTTCGATCCAATTGAATACCTAGGATATTGGCTTTTACACTATAGGGTAAAATAATTTATATTAATTTTATGTTATTTTAAAATTATGAATTATGAATTATAAAATTATGAATTATTATAAAATTTAAAATTAAAATTATGATGCAAAATATATTTTATTCTATTATTTTCGTAAGAATTATATATTGGATTATGTTTTTAAATAGAAACTTCATGTCTTGTGAATTTTCCTCATTTATTTATATTAATTAATAAAAGATACTAATGCTTTGTATATGCATTAAAACCTAATTCAATTAAATATTTTTATCCAATCTAATTTTAATTTTAATTAATAAATAAGATGTATTGTATTTCATATTTATAATAAAATAGTACGATTGATTACTAGAAATATTTCGTTAATGTTAAGACACGTGATATTAAGTAGATATACGTTCTTCTGTCAGATGTATTAGGTTATAGAGTTTATATTTTATTGTCAAACTTTTGTGCATTAAAATAAATGTGATAAATATTAATTAAACAGGAATGTAGGTATGATTAAAACTTTGATTCATAAATAGAATTACATTACATCTATAATAAAAAAAATTATATAAATTATAATTTCAGTAATATTATGTTTTAATAATATGAATTAATATTCCTATTAATTTATTTTAGACAATTAGTTTAATAATTAAAAACACAAAATTCAATATTTATAAAATAAAAATGAATCAACGTATTTTAGAGTTGTGAAAAACGAGAAAAAAGGCAAAAAGAGTTTGAGGCTGAATTACTTGAAGAACGGTCAAAGTGGCAAGAGGCTAATAAAAATCGATGTTCTACGTTTAAAGTATATTTTTATTAGCTTAATAATTATTATAATGTTCAACAAGATTAATTTTAAATTTTTATGTAGGAACCATTTATACACTCGATATATACAATATATAATGAAGGGTCGGAAGCAGAAAATCTTGGAAAGTAAAAATTTTGTTTACATCTCATTGGCAAAATATTGTAAATAATTTTGCATAAAGCATATCTTATTTTTACAATAATTACATATTATAGTACATAAAAATATAATTTTCATATAATTGTAAAAGGGACGGCAAAAAACATCAATTTTTAATACGATTGGCACTATTTTGAAAAAGTACAATATATTTTTATATATATTATTAAATTTTTATTTTTATTTATATATATTAAAGTTTAATAATAAGTAATAAACAAATTATAAAAGTTTTATTTATACTAATAATATAGTTTTAATTTCAATTATCATATAAATAAACATTCAGTTAATAAAGTGCAAGAATTTTAACTAAAAATAATAGCTCAATTGTAAAATTAATAACAATATGATTAATAAATAGAGATGCTACAAATATATTTATTATTTCACACAGAAGTCTTTTACGAAAAAATGTTCTATATTACACTATTTAATATCTGTATTTTTTTATTAATAAATTCAGCAGATAATCATTTCTTTTTAACTGCCTCTCGTATTACAATGAATTTAATATTCATTTTATAATTGTTTATGTAAAAACTACATAAATTTTATAGAATGAATATTATATATCACTGGAAATTATCGAATTGGTAATTTATAATAATATTACTATTACGGAAGCCGATTCTATTTTATATTTAATTTAAAAAATTATAATACAATAATAAAATTAATATTTATAAAAAATCAAGATATGGCTGTATTATTTAACATTTATTTTGAAATATATTTTATAGTTGAAAAATATTAATAGATAAATATGTATTTTTTTTTTGGTTGTAAAAATTGTTATTATAGCTTTATGTTCAGATTACGCAATTCATGTACATACATTTTTTGAAGTATAACAATTTTTATGTTTTATTTTAATTTTAAGAACATACATAAAAAGAGTTGTAAAAACTCATTCAGGTACATTTTTGTTAAATTCTACGTGATCAAGTACTTAAATAAATTTTAATAAGCGTCTTATAGTATTTGTACAATTTGTCGCTAACATATAGTGTTTCTAATATATTTTTATACGTTTAAATATTCATTTTTGTTGATTTTACATTATTCAAAAATGATAAAACGGAGGCTTTTACAATACAAACTATCTTCTGTATAATGTATTACAATTCAAATATTATTAACGACTGAAATTAATTTATTTTAATAAATTTACATTATAAAATTATGTAAGCACATAAACGTTATATTATCATGTCATTTTGATTTTATTTTATAAAAATTATGGTATGAACAATAGCTGAAAGTAAAATTTTACTTTATACAATATAAAAATACATGAAATATATTATTATTTATTTTAAAACGCCTAATATATATTTTTATTATATATTAAAAAAGTAAAATTGAAGCATTATATGTTATCAGTATAAATTGTACAACTGTAATTTTTAATATATTAGCCTGCAGAAATGTAAATTTTCTATTGTTTGTATCATATTTTTTTTTCTACAGCGAATATTTTGTATGACAGTGTTTTAGGTACAAAATAAATAAAATATTGGAGCAATACTAAATCATAAGAAAAGCGGCTAAATTAAATTTAGTACATTAAGGCTTGTAAAACTTAGATTGATATGGATATGTAAAAAAGAACGTATTTAGAGAATAAAAATAAACGCATAGAATAAGAACTTCATATATACTACATAAATTTATGTACAAAAAGAATAAATCTAATAAATGTATTACTAATTGCATTACCTAAATTCATTGAATAAATAACTGTATTTTATGCTGATTTTTTAGTTCTAACTATATTTTATCGCATGAATTTAAGTTTACACTACTCACGAGTCTTTCATATTGCTAACTCAACGAGTTTTATTAATTTAAATAATGTGTTCATAGCCTGATAATCATCACCTCATTTTGAGAATTAATTAATATTTTTTATAATCAATCTCAAATAACGCACTGTTATGGATAGGCAACAAGACGAAAAAGTCCTCGAGGTTGTCAATCTAATTTCTCTCGGTGAGACGTAATTCTGTAGAATCGATGATCCGCTCAGCGTTCCTTCGCTTCCACTTCCGCGGCCAATTAATACGCGGATACTTTCAATTTAATCTGGACTCGCATCCGACAAGGATGTACAGGAACTGATGTAAGCGGGAGGAGATGCGCTTTTCGCGTTGAGCTCGACGTATTTCTTTGAAATGACGCCAAGCCGTAAGGTTTGCCTGATGTAATGGACCCCACTGCTTGCTTGGCTTTAATGGTAACAGGAACATCTGTTGAACCGGAACAATGAATTAATAAAGGTGAAAACTTCTTTTTGTCAACTTATTCTGAATTACCTCTGGTATGCCGAGATTTCTTTTCGTGAAAATCGTATAAATGTACCAAAAGGGAACTTGGAGGATACCGAATGCAAGAAGTGTCCATCCAGCGGCTGTAAATTGCATAAAAGATAGATTCCAAGAATTTTGAAGCTGTATTTCATTATATAATGGCTTTATATTACTATTAGAAATGTAATAAAAGTAACATAGTTGTGGTAAAAGTAAAATAATAAAAATTAATAATAAAAATAATTATTAGATATGCAATCAAATTAACATATAGTTGTGGTAAAAATAAAGATTATTTAGAATCCTAAGGAAAATGTTTAGTTCATAAAAAATAAGTTAAATGTGGAATGAAATATGAAATACGAAATTTTAAATAGAATTAAATATTGTTATCAATATACTTTATTCAGACATAATAAATACACATAATAAACAACATATAACAAAGTTATTTTTAAAAATTACTCCGTATTCAAACACATAATATTTGTTTTCTGAGAACTTGAAAGTGTTACATAAATAATTATATTTAATATTTGTCACAATTAATTTATTTATTATAGATAATTAAATAAAATTTATATTCTAAACTATTAGAATTAAATTTAATATTTTCTATTATATTGTTCAACATTAGATTCTTTGGTATTTACTACAAATTTCTAATCAATAAATACTATTAATTTTGGATCAATATAAGTGAGCCAATCGAGCTATATATGATAATTCCGTCATATATTAAATACATTTCACTATCGTTATTGTAAAAATATAAACTGACCTTTTTTATTCAAACATTAAAACAAATTGTGCTAAATTTACGTTCTTCCTTTTTCTTATTTGATCATATATAAAGAATTCTCGTTTTTATTCTATTGATAATGCATAAAAATAAGAATAACAATAATGATATTCTTCTTTTATAAATAATAAAAATTTTTACTAAACAATTATACTGCTCCAGTATAGTACATTGATTATTACTAAAGTTTTTAAAGACAAATATTCATTTCCTAAATAAATTTATATAAAATACATTTTGTGTGCACGCGTACGCGTTTATATATATAAAATGAGATGAAATAGAAAAGTAGTAATAATTATTAATCTCTCTTTATTAACCTATCCTTTGACTACTTGAATCTTTATTAAATCAAGCTTTTCGATAAATCCTTACCAATTTTTTATCAAAATCATTTTTTTACCTTTTATCATAAGATTTTTATTAAATTAAATAATATTATTTATTAAATAACATTACATTATTTCATTAACGATTAAGTATACTAAATTATGAATTTAATTTCAAATATATCGTAAATATTATTCGAAATGTAACGGAGTGAAAAATTTCTTTCGAAAGATTTTGATTTTCTCCATGTTAAGTATTAAGTGAGCTCGTTATTAATTTATAGCGTGAATAATAAATTCACAAGCTGATAAATCCATTCGTGAATTACCGTGAGCGCTGTCAGGGTAGGCTATACCCCCATACGTGAGAGGTGTTCGATTGGCCACCGTATAAATGAAGATTGAAACGAGGAGAAGCGGTGTGACGAGTGTCCAGCAGATCCGCCAGTAGATAGTAGGACGTTTGCCCAGCATGAACTCCATGTCATCCAGAAAGTTCTCAAGGCCATATAACCAAAACACCCCAGTCACCTCCATGCTTGCGAGGATAAATACTACGAAAGACGCTGCATAGTAGTCCACCAGTCCTAGCACGAATTGACCACCCTGGTGGTGCCAGGCAAACGCATGACTTAGTTTTTTCATTTGCCTGATGATTGTCGAAGGGATGCCAGGATCCCAGGTACAACTGGGGATCTGCACTTTTTTACATTTTATAATTTCTTTTTTTTTTATTTTTAATTTTTAATCAAGAGTGATATTAGATCGAATTTTGAAAGGTCGATGAGCTATACGAAATATTATATCAAATTATGAGAATGAAAACATGTGAAGAATGATATAATTATGCTTTCTTCCTCTAATTCCCAGGTAGTTTAATTATACTAAAATTTGTTATATTTTTCGGTTATCCGTTCAAATTTGATTCCTTTTATTGCTCACTATTATCCAGATATTTCATTTCATAGGAATTCACTTCAATTTTTATGTGAAATAGTGTTTGTTAACTATTAACAAAAAATCAAATTTATTGCTTCTATCTTAAAATACAAACAATATATAATGCAGACTTCGTACAATATGATACATTTACAATAGGTAGATTGAAAAACTTTTCGCGTTTAATTTGAATTAGTTGAAATTTTGATTGATAAATTAAAAATATATTTCCATGCACAATAAGATTTTATTTACAATAATGGAATAAGTAATCTATATGTATTTATACAAATAACTTTTATAACGTCAAATATAATAATTTGGATTATTATATGACAATATTCATTTAATATATTTTCAGTCTTTTAACACAATATAAATATACTTAATTCATAAAAAATTTAACAGTAAAAATAAATATAAATTTGTGCTCGCATACAAAATTGACTTTATCGATAAAGCATCGACTAACAGCATTATTTAATGCTTGTAAATTTATTACTTTATGTACACATATTGCAAATAGAATTTTTGACTATATTATAAAACCGAGAAAATATAGACATCAAAATATTTTGAATATCATAAACGAAGGCTTATTGATGAAAATATTTTTACTTCTCATGAAAGTAATTTAAATAATCAATTTACTATTAAATTGTGTACTAATTAGTATTTTCAATATAAAATGAAATTTGCCATTTCATTAAATACGACTATTTATACCGTATTAAGTATTTGTACCGTAATTACTTAAATTACAGTATATATATAATAAATATTTCTCATGAATATGTACAGAAATAATATAATAATGTTTAATATTTCAATTGTAAATATGTCTGTTTTGGATATACTTTTATATTAAAAAATTAATTAAAATCAAATTCTAGATTCCCTTTGATTAAACTGAGTATTATTCCAATAGAAATACTCGTATTTCATTATGACCCTGATACATTGTTTCGTTTTATTCAGACATGAGTATCTGAATAATATCTTAACTAGTATTGCGCTTTACAGTGATGTATTATTTATTTCCACAAAACCTTCCCATATTTACTCATACACTCATGTTATGAAATTAATAATTTTTTTTAATAAAAGAATAATACTAAAGTAGTTACTCAACTATTTTTACCAATTGCGCTCTAATTATTATGCTTATATTAATGATGTAATGGTGTAAATCCATGTAATCCAATAATTTAAACTATTTTTCAATATACTTAAAAATATTTAAGTAATTTACATTAAACTGATACGATTATATATCACTACGATTAAAAATTATGTGATGATATAATGTTGTTCAAAGAAATTGAAAAAATTTAGATAAAAATCTTACTGGTGTACAATAAATTGTACCAAAGCTGAAGCCAACAATCGATGTGACAAGAACAATGTGCCAGTGTGTCCAGTTGGGAAATTGATCATTGACGATACTGATGATTCCTCCAGCTAATGCGATTCCACTTCCAATTCCTAGGACGTACAGCATCAAGAAAAATAGAACCGAAAAAAGCTGAAAGATGTTCAGGTTTTCTAATTATAATATTTGACATATACTTATCAGTAATTAATTGATTTGATTATATTTATTTTTTCGTAAGTTACTAATCATTAGTAGACTACTCTATCTTAGAAAATTTTTTGTATAAAATCTATTAAAATCTGCATAAAATAATATTTATTCTTTGATATTAAATATTTTATTTGAGTATTCCTAATTTACAAATAAAATTGTCCTATCGAATTTTTAAATAATTTAATTTGTAAATCAAAATAATTTTTATATATAAAAATGAAATTTAAAATAAAAATTTTATATGCCATATGTTTTCTATAGAAGTGATATTCAGTTATACTGAGTTATTGAATAGATAATATATAAAATATAATTGTTTACTTATTTAGTTAGCATGAAAATTATGTGTGTTATCATAATGTAAAACATAAAAAGAAAGTAGGATTTGGTTGATTTAATAAATTTTATAAATTCGGTAAGAAATTTAAAAAACTGTTTAATTATATTTTATACAGCATGAAATTCTTCGTACGTCATTATAAAAGTCTATTCAAGAAAAGAAATAATAAATAAATTATCTACTAAGAAATTTATATACTTACTAAAAGTTAAAAGTATCTTAATACATTATTTTTTTCATGAAATGTTTATATTGTAAGGCTCATATTTAATAAATGAAGTTTATTAACTAATGGTTAGGTGTTTTTTCTACAATATAAAGATATGATTGACATAGAGCGTACTTTTATTAACAGATAGCTTATACAATTTATTATTTGAAAGATTAATTGAGTCTAAATCTATATTATATTAACAAATTTCAAATAATTCAATAATAAATAATTCCAATAATGATAATAAGTCTTGATTGCAGAGCTATTCAAGACAGTTAATATTTTCTAGCAAAAGAATGGTAACTACGCGGCATAATTTGCAGAAAAATCACTGACAGTTTTCTCTTTTAATCAATTTATTAAGTAAGAGTTTGTTGATTTTCAATAACATTTTTAAAATAAAAATTAGTTTCATAATTAAGTAAAGTAAAATAAAATCTTCATTTTTATAGAGGTAAATTTTAATAATAAAATCTGCACTGTAATTATAACAAAACTTGATTCATAATACTATTATTTCTAAATACTTTAATTTAATAAATATAATTTTTATAATATTAACAATAAGTTAAAATCTGAAAGTTTTCTTTAGACTATTAAAGAGATCACATAATTAAAGTCTATTGTAATTACTCAAGAATGGTATAAAGAAAAATTATACTTGAACCAATTTCGATCATTCTATATAATTCAAAAGTATATAGGTTGATATAATGCAGTTAAATGGTATTCTAGTTACATAAGATTCTGTACAGAATCTAATTATAAAGAAAACTTTCAACCATGACTTATGAGAACGGAAGGAGAGAGAGGACAAAACAGTTAAAGTATTGCAAATACAAATTCCTTTATAGTTTATTCCTTGATTTTGTTCGTATTTATAATTTATTATTTAAATTAATGTTAATTATTTAAACTATTTATTTAAATGATATCTGATGAAATCGAATGTAATGTAGAGAAATTATTGAAAAATGAAAGTAATGAAAAATTAAAAATACTGTGCAAAGTTTAAAAGACAGATATTGGTGACATACGTAGGTTACCTAGTACTATCATATAATTAACTTTATATTATTCATTTACAATTTATTGATGCTGTTTAAAGTAATTTAAATGATTCTAAGGTATACCTCAGCTATGACACGTTTTGTTTCTATTTAGTCGCCTATTACGATGATAATTGACACTGTATCATTATTATAAAGCTATTATAAGGCAGATTTTTAATTAAATAGTGAGCTAAATAATTAGAAAATACAGGCACCAACTTATAAATGAATTATGTCCCACTATGTAGAAAACGATACTCTCTCGAGATAAAATGGTATAAACGTCTAAGAAATTATGCGGTTGTATTAATATTCAGATCATGCAACGCTAAAAAAGAAGGTCACTTCTTAAGGTTTTTAAAATTACGTATTCTGTAAGTAAAAATAGAAGATTCCTATTTTACAGTCGTTTCAAGGTGACATCTGCATCTTTGGAAGCCATTGAAGCATTGCGTCACAATAATAATTGAATTACAGTACCTGAGGGAATAACGTAAATTTCGCAATGGCATCCGGATAAGAAATGAAGGCGAGTCCGAAGCCGCCGCGGACGACGTTGCTAATGTCATCGGTGCCCAGCTCGTGGGCGAGATTACCCAAGATCCCGAAGATAGTGAAGCCAGCCATGAGACTCGTTAGGGTGTCCAGACTCGTCACCACTATTACGTCTCTACGGAAAAGCAGACAATCCAAATATAATATCTAAAATAGATTATTTTTCTTTTCATTGATAAGCAAATGAAATAATGAAATTGCTCATTTTTTAGGCATTATAGATGAGATAAAATAAATTGTATATTATTTTGTTGGAAACTTTCCTATTGTAATTCTTTCTTACAAGAATATAACAAAACGGAAAAGATTCATTATCATTTAATAAAAGAATCATAAATAAACAAGTGAATTAGTGATAAAATGGCACTGCTAATAATGTTCATTTTCTTTAATTATTCCAGGTATTATATTCCTTAATCAATAATTATATTGCTTCCCGGGACTTTAGAAACACAATATATTGCATAAATATTTCAGAATACAAGATAATTTATAATGTCAATATTGTATGTATTTCAGAGTTATTTTCATTATTAAGTTTTAATTAGTACTTACTTTTAAAGGCATGAAAAATTTTTTTTATTGATTATCTTTTATTGTAAAGACTTTTAATTTTTAACTTTTTTAACTTTTTAACTTTTATTTTAAAGAATATATTCATTGTTTTTGTCTAATTAAAAATTCAACAGACGTTGTATAATTTGTTAACTAAAATGGAGTAAAATAATGCGTCAGAATTTTTTAAATTAAAAATTCATGTGTTGTATAATTCGTCTGCTAATATTGAATAAAATGATGTATCAGATTTATGAAGTTAACTTTACATATATGAAATCTGATTACATATATATAAGCTTTAAAAATGCTAAATTTTATAAATTTTAGTAATTTTTATTATATTTTGTAAAACATGAATTGTCTTTAATTTCTTATCTTTCTTTCATTTAATATAACAAATGAAAACTTAGCATTAAAGTTTCTGCTTCATGTAATAAAATCGTTGGATTATAGTAAAGTATTTCGAAATATAAATATAAGATTTTTTTAAAAAATGCATTGTTTTGATACGTTATATTTAATTTTTAACTAAAAAGAAAAACGATAGTATTTTCTTATTACCAAAAATTATTTGTATTACGCATAATTTCTGCTATGGTATTATTTTTTTTAAGTGTTCATTATAAAATTAAAATATTAATCTTCTAATTTTTACATAATGATATATAGAAATTTTATAAGCATTTATTGTAAAATTTGAGTACATTCAAGTAAGTAATTATGTACTATCTGCACGAGTTTGTCATTTACGTTTAAAAAAGATATGAAAAATTTTGTATAATTATGCTCGTAAGTATAATGCAACTTTAATATTTATCTAAAAAAGTATGTCACTGTTTTTTAATAAATATTATTATTATATATTCTTTCATTCGCTTAACCATAAATATTTTACATTAATACAAAAATACAATTTTTTTGAAGGATATTATATCCTCTTTTATTATGTTTATATTAATATGATTAAAATATTCTTTCAGACAACATTTTTAAAGTACATTTTCAAAAATAAATTGTTAAAGTTATATATGTACAATAATAAAAAAACATTTCTATCAAGTCTTGCTTTTTATGAGTTGTAGAGGACTGAATTGTAAAATAAAATACGTAGATTACATATAATGAACAAGAATTATTATAAAAATTATTATATGATATTCAAAAGAAATAATATAGAAATGAATTTATTAAGAATAAAATATTATAAAATAATAAAACGTGTTACGCACGAGAATTGTACAAAATATATATATGTACTTCGTTCTTCAAAACATGCTATACTATTATAAAAGATTCAAGAACTTACCTGTAAATATTATGTCTGAATTCGTTATAGGAGGAATAGGTAATAAGACCCCCGAAGCAGACAGAAAGCGAGAAGAAGCATTGTGTGACGGCGGCATACCAGACGTCGGCCTGAAAGAGTTTTGACCAATTGGGCCGAATGAAGTAAAGGATGCCAGTAGTGGCGCCCTCTAGCGTCACAGCCCTTATGAGCAAGGCTATCATAATGACGTAGGGGAATAGGGCGAGGAAGTACGCCGCTTTGCCGGAGCTCTGCACACCTCGGGCCAATACCCCAAAGATGCATAACCACGACAATAGAAGACAGAGACTTAAACGCCAGTCGGGAAAACCTAGGCCATCGTCGATGTTTGGCTTTTCTTTCAGTACAGCTTTTCTATCCATTTTGAGATTTTGAATTAGAGCAAAATAATTTTAAATTGTCATAGTCTTTCATATTACATTGTTTTATTTTTACTTATTTTAACGAAAATGTCTACTAATATAAATAATCTTTTTTTTTAAATGCTTTACTAAATTTTATGATGGATATTAATACTTTTTCTAAAAATTGGATGAAAGAAGTAATTACTTTGCTGAGAATAAAAAATTTCACGGTACAAAGGTACATTATCATTCGTAATATTATAATTAATTCTAAAAGTAGTCGAACAGTTTTACTAGTAATATTAGCTTGTATTAATCAAAATTTTTACCACAATAGATCAGCAAATCATAGTAATCATACAAAATCTCATCATTTTTATTCATTATTAGTCCTTTGGGGTTCTTTATTAACTTATGACTCACGTAAAGTAGAGTTCGGCAGAGCTTTTCAGACCTGTCAAATCCCGTCGTCCAATAAAGCTAACGTTTAATTTGCCGTGATTGCCAGAATCAATACAAATTGGACCCCACTGTTCGAGGCACTCGGACCAAGGTAATTGTGCGTGAAAGCTACCGAACAGGTAGTACAGGGTGATGGACATAAGGGAGCAGTAGTAGGTGCCGACGGCAACCATGGAGAACATCTGGGCATAACCGACACCTCGTAGCGCTGGAGCCACTGCCCACATCTTCACCGATGAACGGCTCGTGAATTGCCCAATGATCATCTCTAGATAGTAGCAAGGTTTGCCTACCAAGAAGAGTATGATTATGTAGGGAATCAGGAAGGCGCCACCTCCGTTCTCGTAGGCAGTGAAGGGGAAGCGCCAAACATTGCCGAGACCGACGGACATGGCGATACAGGAGAAGAGGAACTCCATGCTGTTGCCCCAGGTTTGACGCTCGGGTCGAACTTCCTGTTTCTCCGTCTGCAAATATGGAACGTGTGCACAATGTGTATTCTTATTTTTAGTGTTATATTTGCAAAGTATGTCTGCATATGATTGGCATATTTATTATAAAATTATCAATGTATATAATTCAAATATTTTATTTCCGTTCTTATACTTATTCAGATCGTTCACTGTTATATTGAATTATTTGAATTTTTTAATCAATATTTTTAAAATATTGTTTTATTATTTCTTTTTTAGGATGATATAAAAGTAATATAGATACGAAATTACATTTCATTGATATAATATATATATATATATATATATATATATATACTAACAATAAAATATACTTTTACTGTTAAATAAAGTAATACGTAAAAAAATAGAGTGTATGGTAAACAAAAAATTTTTTTTTTAATATATTATATATAATGTATATACTTGTATAAACAAATTATTTAAGAAATAATTAAGTTTTATTCTAAATAGTATATTAATAAATAAGATGATTTAAGTTTTAAAGAGAAATTTATTACAAAATATTATGTATAGAAATTAATGAAATGATAAAACTTCGTTCTTCTTCCTAGATTTAACGTATTTATCACGTAGAATCATATGTTGAATTTATCCATTAAACAAAGTATTCCTCACTTAAACATATTTGTAATTATTACTTAAATTTTTGGAAGAGCATCTTTATGTTATTTTATTCTGCGTTTATTTTACGCGAACAGTAACGACTCTTTAAATGGATTTGCAGATTTAAGTATTTAATTTATTATCGGAGATATAATATATTTTATGTTTTGCTATGAATGTTATTTTTTTATATATATTATATGACATGAAGCAAAGTTAAATATACTTATAATTACAAAAAATATAAAGAATTAATTTATCTTAAATAAAATATTTTTTCAATGTTGATTTTCTTGTGATTCAGAATACATTGCAGTCTTTGGCACTTAAAATTTGTATTTTAATTTTTCACTATAAATCAAATGTTTATCATTTCTCATGCATTATATATTATTAATTTACCGTCTTAATAGTCAATGATAAAGCAAGAGGAAGCTTACGATCGTCGCAAATTTTATACTGGGATTGAACTGTTCGATTTTTCTGAAACGAGATATTTTATTGTTTAATTTAGAAGCAGTAAACTAATGATACATTGACCAAGTACATTACCTTGTCAAAATTATGTCCATTTTGTAAATTATGCAATTCTATGCCATCATCTCCAACAAAGCCTGGATTTTGCTTTCCGTCCTGAAAAATAAAAAAATAAACGTAGTTTGAAAAATTTCAAGTATGTTTTCATAAAAATATCAAGAAATGGTAATAGAACAGCCTAGAAATTTCTTAAAGCCATATTTATTTCATTTATTAGTTTATTGATTTTTTCGATTAAAACAAAATGTAATTAGTGTACATATAGTATCAAAACTAATCTTATTTTAGATAAAATAATTGCTTCAGAAAGAAACAAGGTACTAATTTCAATTTATTTATTATTACTTTTAGTATATATAATATTTATATGTAATATATAATTATATATAATTTTTATTATGATTTTGATTATATAATTTTCATTATACAATTTTTATTAAAGATTGATTAATTAAAGTATAAGAAGAAATAAAAAATAGTTGTGTAGCATTTGGATTTTAAAGTTTTAATTGTATTTTTACAAAATTTAATAATCTAAAATAAATTGTCTAAATATACTACTAATGGCAGATACTAATGGCATTAAATTTGTATATTAAAACAAGTTAAAACTCACTTTTTAAACACAGACAAATAATAATTTAAAGGAGTCTTTTACATAAATAAGAAAATTTTAAAGAACGTGCAAAATTATATAGTGATTTAGTTAATAACTCCATTGCATTACATTTGCTTATGAGTTTGAATAACTTTCGGTAAATAATAAAATGCTAATAAAATATCTATTCAAACGGTGTTAAATAAATACAATATCATAAATCAAATTCTATCGGGTAAAAATACTCGATATTAAGAATATTATTTTTTAAGCACTATAAAATCATATATTTAAATATTTGTTTGCAAACACATGGGGATTTATTAAAAAAAACTTAATAAAAACAATATCTATGATCGATGTGAAGTATTTATATAATAAATTATATATGTGTTATGAACCAGAAATTTATATTATATCAATTTATTACTTTTAAGAATTAAAAGATTATAGCAATGGAGACTACAATTTCACAACGATATCTGATTACTTTAACATTTTGTTTAATGAAAAATTATAAATTGACATTTACAGAATTTATAATTTAACGAACTTAAAAGTTTTATCATTTAATTTTCTCCCAGTCTTTATTGTTAATCTAAATTATTCAAATAGGTAAAATCATAACTATAACTTGGAATGAAAATACGCATCTAATTTCAGCCAACCGATGAATGAGCAGAAATTGTTTCTAATGCAAAAAAGCGTAGCTTGCAAAATACGATGTTCTTTCAATATATAATATATCATAAATAGGGCACTTTGCATAATTAAGCTTCTAACACATACACATATGTACCATAGACACGAAAAAAGATATGAAGATATAGAGATAGTAGATAGAGCGAATGGTAGAAGCAACTGTAATCGATACATGATATCGCAAAGGCTCTGTGTATATCCAATAATGAGAGGAGATACGTACTATACAGTTACATTTGACCGATCTTATCGTTCTCAGCTTTTCTCAATCACTGTGTAAGTGTATGTGCGCGCCTGCACGCGTGTATGAATTTCTTGATTAATTTCAGCATCGAAATTGTATGATTAAACTTTGCGGTATTTATTGGTTTTATTACTTTAATGAATTTATTGTTAGATAAGTATAATTAACAAAAGTATATATATATATCTAATATGTAATAATAGCATAACATTTCTAATATTTTAAGATAATAAAACACATATAAAAGATTAGACGTTTCAAAACCATAGTCACAAATTCATTTATAATGAAAAAAATATTTATTTTATTTTTATTTTTTTTTTCGGAAAAGAAGTTTATACATTATAAACGTATTTTCTAAGTTTGTAAAACCATTATATAAAGGTAATAGAATGATCGAAGTTGTCACGCTTCACGATTTAAATTAGAAATATGTTACAGAAATATTGAAATCAAATTACTTTATTGAAAATCATTTTCATTTCAAAAGAAACTATTAATTTGATGTCAATTTTAGATACAAGTTTAATATAGAATTTTACAGAAATTCTCTACTAAATATAAACTAGATTTCTAGTTAGTAGAATGTATTATTATAATATATTAACATTTTAATTGTTTTTATTGTAATCAATATAGAAGAAACGTAATATAAAATCTAAATGCAAAAGATAAAAAAATATACTCATTAAATATTTTATTTTATAATATAATTACTACACTAATAAGGTAAAAAAATATGCAATAATTTAAAATGAAATACTTGCTCTAAGAAAATATTCCCATAATATCATTAATTTCATGTTATTAATTATTCTAATAATTAATACGATTATTATTATTTATAAATAATTAATATGAGGGTAATGAAAATTTAAAGTACATAATAGAAAAATTTTAATTAATATGTACATTTATTATCCATAGATGCATGATTGTAAAGAATGGAATTTTATATATGTTAAGTAATTATTAAAATCTTATTTTATATTTAAGTAATGTTCATCAATAAATAGTATTATTTATTCCAAGTTGTAGATTGTTGGTCAATCAATGAAATTTCGTTGAAATGTTATAATAATTTTAACGTAATGTAATTATAAAATTAATTATTATCCATTATACTTTAGTAATAATATGTAAAAAAGGCATTATCTAATTACCCTTTTATATGCAATTGTAGCCATGTTTAATTAAACATTACGTCACTTTTACTGATTTAATTTTTATGTTAAATGCCGTGTTTGATTATTAACATAAAGGTTTATTCAGAGATTTGATAATATTCTTGATAGAATCATCTCGATATAATTGAAATTTTATATTTATTTTATTCTTACCTGTACCAATTTATAATTCTGATAAATGCTTCAAAGAAAATTAACGATTAAATATCTGTTTCATTTCAATCATAATTTGTATTTACATTTCTTATAAAAAAATTTACATTAAAGGTTGTATAATTTTGTTACATAGTTTACTCAATATTATAAAAGTATTGTATAAAAATATTTAGAAGCTTATATAAAAAAAGTATTTAACTTCACTGTGCACATTATTGATCATGATAATTTGAGTTTTATAATTTTTGTTATATTAAATAAATTATATATTAAATATACGTAAACTATATTTTAAATTTTTAATTTTTAATTTTGCATGTAAAATATTATTTTTTGTATAAAATTTGAAATCTATTATAAAATGTTGAAATTAGATTATTCATTAAAGATTGAATATTTAAACTGTTTCAGAAAATAAAAAACATGTATTCACATACTTCTTTAAAATTTATAAAAATTTAATGTATATCTATTAATTATTATTAACTATTTTGTTCATTATTATTAGCAGTAATTATGATTAATTTCATTTGTCGCAGACTTATAGAATTGTCGTAGACTTTAGAATATTGTATATGTTAAACAGTTATACAGCATTTTTAATAATATTATACAACATTTAATAAAATAAGAGGAAAATGAAAAGTACTATGCAATTATTAATTATTTTATTTTTATTAAGCGCCTGGTTAATGTAATTATTATAGATTTATGATAGTTAAAAAATATGTATAAAAGAACTATGTGAGTTTTCGTTAATATTTTAACAATTTTTTAATTAATGATTTTATTGTTTATAAATTAAATAAATGATTTTATTTATTATAGCTTGTTGCTGCATTAACAGTCATTTTAAATTTATTTAAAAAATAATTTTTATATTAGTAGAAAGTATTAATAATATGTGTACAAGAATATATATTATATGAAAGAAAAAATATATATATATATATAAAGATATGCGCAGGAGTTAAGAAATTCATTGGATAAATAATTTTTGTAAACAAATATACTTTATTGTGCTATTTAATGTAAATTTTGTCGAATAATAATAATTTTTTCGAACTACAATATTACTTATGTACTTAGAATAGTTATGTATGATTGCTATGGATATTCAGTTCATGTAAAAAGACTGATTATTAAATAGTTATCCATGATGAAAGTACATAATAATTATTTCATAGAAGTATAAATTGTTGTGTTGACCTTGAAAAACATTTAATTTCTTTTATATAATATATCAATAATAAAATTACTATATAGCTTATAGAATCATTTTCTAGCTTAAACTTTACGTATTTTAAAACATGTTCGGATAATTTTCTATATAATTTTTTCTTTTCTTCTATCCGCATTCACTTTAAGCAATAATATTTTATATGCAATTTTTTTTATGACTGCTACGAGGCGAAACGTTTTATGACGATACGCGTCAATGTTTTTGCGTATTATATGCTCAATAAAAAGTTTTAAATCTTCGTAAGTGTTCGTTGTTTATTTATTAAAACTAGTTATTATGCACTTAATTATTTCATATTATGTAGTTTTTAACCTTCATATTAAATTATATTTACTATACATAAGTAATTGAATTATATTTATGAAAAAAATGAGAAAATTTACTTTTCTTTTGTGCAGTTAATTTAAATATCCCAAAAGCTCAAATCATAAATACATCCAATGTACGTTTCAATAAATCTCACAAATAGTATTTAATAAATAGATCGGAATCATTTTTATACTTTATATAAATGGACACATAGAACTGTAAATATTGTCAATTTAGGATTTTATAGTTGATTATTATTTTTATTCTTATTATATTTCATGTTTTTTTAAACTTTTGAATGATAGTATACTTATATAATTGAAATCTGAAAGTAAGAAGTCCGTTCACTAGGAGGCCAGTTATCAACTGGACACCCTTGGTTGTTCTCTTTATTACCATTATGTGTCGTCCAGAAATGAGCATCATTATTTTCTGTGCTTCGTGAATTTTCACTACAAAACCCGTTATTCTATTCCATGCATGGGCGGTTCAAAGTCAAAGTTGTGTGATACGCTAATAATTTTTGGAAACATCCCCATAAATTTTGATGGCAAGATGTGACCGATATATATTATAAAAGTGCAGTGTGTTTTTTTTATTTATTTTCCATACTTATTTATTTTCGAAAAATTAGACATTCAAATATATTTTGGATCATTTTGTTTGAATGGTATTTGAATTTATTTATGTTTAAATAAACATTTATATTTTTTGTGAAAATCTATATATAGCGAAGTTATTTTTATTTCTTTTGTTAATACTCATAACTTTAATATTATAATTATATTTATTCCATAAATTATTATTCCAATATTATTAATTCAACAAATATTATTTTAAAATTTTATTGTTTCGATTATAATTTACATATTTTTCATATGAACGATTTATCAACCTTTATTGATTTTAATGGAAAAGCTATGTTATATATCTAAATAAGAATATATTTTTTTATTACGTTATTGTAAATTTTATTCAGCAACTTAATGTTTTATAGGAATTAGTAATTTTATCTATATATATTTTATCATATAATATAAAACTATTAAACATGAATATATTCTGATGCAATAGCATTTTTAAAAATTTATTTTTTAGTACTATATTTTTTTTAGAAATGAATTACGTGAATTATAATTATTTTGGTGTCTACATGTATATAAGGCTTACTATTTATATAAGAGATAGAGAAGAGATAGAGAAGAGAGAGAGAGAGAGAAAGAGAGAGTGAATTATATAAAGTTTTGCCTATGAGTTCTGTATCATTAGCATCCTTTGGCGAAATAGTTTTAATATATTGTATATAACATGATACACCATTTTAAACAATATTTATTCAAAGGAATCATTCATGTTTCGTTAAAAATGAATTTTTAAATATTTAAAAACCAATAGAATTATATTCTTTCAGTTTTGTTATCTTAATTTAATCTGTATTAAATAAGCTGAAAAAATTTGCTGGTTAAGACATAATAGTGTAATTTTCAAATATTTATCTAAAAATTATTAACGCAAAAACTTTCACATAAAAAATAAATAGTTTTTTAAAATAACTTTTTGCAATAATTGATAAATTATATTATTTTTGAACATCATTACGATCAATAATATAACAGCGAATTTTCAACATTCACAGTAAATAAAAATATAAGATTTTCATTACGTCTTACCTAAGCTGCACTTACACTACTTGCCGTCTCTGAAGCGTTAAAAATATTGCAGAATAAATAATACATTTGCATAACTACATCAATCATTATTTTTTATGACTAAATTTATTGATTAAAATTTTTAGTTTTGTTTATATTTTTCTTGATAACGTATCTCTGATTTTAAATATACTACTAATGAACCATAATGAACGGTATAGACGGTTGGTTAAATAATTTAATATAAAAAATAAAATATCAATCAAATAATCAAATTCATCAATTAATAATAACAGTTAAATCACATTTTTCTTTGCCGATTGTTAATATGCAGTTAGTCAATTATTCATAACCTTTTAATCAGAACATTCACAATATTTGTCATTCATTTATTTGACATTATTTAATAAAAATAACAGCAATCTAAAGTATCCTGTCGTTGGATAAAAATATTTCAATTTTTTCAAGTAATGGGCTTGTACTTTACCATACACCCGTGAACCCTAATAACTTAATTCAGCACATCGATAGTTTTAACATAAAGCTAACTTTCTTCCATTCCCTAATCTATACCAAGCCTCTTTCTCCAATTGCCAGGAGAGGAAATAGGCATAATAACGTCTTATCGATCAGAATACGCGTGACAAACCTCGATGGCTCCCATGTCGTCGGCAGATGGCCCTCGCGATGATTAGCGCGACGCCGCGACTACCGATCGACTCGGGACACGACGGCCGACTGTTCGCTGATCGGCTCATGCCGCCTGAGCAACGACAGCGCAACTAAAGGGAACGCGAGATCGGTAAGCGGTTCCCATTTCCTTGTACGTAGGGTAAGAAAAGAGCTACCGGTCAGTGGTTTTCGTAGGACTCTAGGATACTCGAATACAATGGTACACGTGTTTGTTTTTTTAGAATGCATCCTTTAGAATAGCGCACCTTTGTGCACTACCGCCTGCAATATTATTTGTATATTAAATATATGGGCTATTAATATAAGAAGCTTGGTTTCATGAATGAGAAACTGGCTAGTAATGGTATGCAAATTTATTCGTAAATAGAGATGATAATTATTATTGGCGAAGATATGTCTTGGAATATTCAATCTAAAGGTGTACGAAGGCAGATAATCCCTTGCACTACATTCTAACTGCGATTGTAAATTTAAAATGGATTATATTGAATTATTAACGAAGAACAATGGATCTTAAAGAAGATAACGTAACTATTTTATTTACAAATTATGTCATTGAGAGAAATTATTCATTTTTCAAATTTAATTTCACATAGATATATAAATATTAAAAACTTATTGGCCAAAGTTAAATAACTGAAATTAAAAATATTCTAACAAATTGTTGATTTATAAAAAGAAAACTTTATAAATCGAATAAGTCATAAAGAAAAATATTATTTTATAAATACTCACTATTTATTATGTTTATTATGGTTCTTAAAAGAAATTAATTTCAAATAAAAATTTTAAAATTTTAAATTTCAATATATATAATAAGGGAGGAACTAAATAACAGTCATTAAAAAAAAATAATTTTACTCGAATTGGAAAAAAATAAAGGTAAAATGTATAGATTTTTTACATAGTAAAAAATAGTCTTTATAGTTATTATAAATTAAAAAAATATA